CAGACGAGTATTGAAGAATGGATTGTCACTAAAGCCATGGGTAGAAAACGAGACGATGTCTTCGTATATCCATATAATATAGGCATTTGGGGTAATATTAAGCAAGTTTTGTTTGAACCAATCCATAACGGCATTGAATGGCCGGTTATCGATGGCTGCAATCAATACACACTTACCGTAAGAATCAATTTCCTTTAATTACTCATTACTGGGAACCCCTTTATCGGCGTTTAAATCATTAATCGATTTTATATCGCAAATCAATTTTATTATCGATTTTATTGTTTTTCAATAATTAATTAATAAACGTATGAATTGTGTGACCAAAAGGTTGAACAACTTGTGCAGAAAGAAGAAAAGCGGAACCGTTCGGTGACGTGTGTGGCAATAGAGGATTATAACGGTTCGTGGTTTCCCATATCCAAAGGCTGGCGAATATGCACTTCATTCCCATTGACTGATGAGCCGCGGATTGGCGTCACTCGTGGTGACCATATTCTGGTGACGCGATGGAAAAAGCACTGGCTTTATGGCGAAAAACTCAAAACAGAGGCTCAAAAGCGAGAGCGCGGGTGGTTTCCCAGACGGCTCGTGGTTCAGGTGCACACCGCTAAGTGTCATGTAATCAACAACACATCCAAACAATTTGATACAAATAAAAAATTAGACTAAAATTTTATATAATATAATTTAGACACAATTTTTTATTTATTATTTAATATATAATTTTGTAAAATTTGTTACGAAACCAAATGAAATTATTGTATGAAATTAAAATATTAGATTAGTTTTCGACAAATCTATTGATTGTTTTGATATATTCTTTAGAAATAGTTAAGAATCCGTATGACGTGAGCAATGAGAAGAGTACTCTAAGCCATGTCCTGTCGGGTAGGAGTGCTTTAGTGGTCGCGCAAAACAAAATGGACCCGAAGTTAAAGATTACGGAACCGAAAGCACTGAACATTATTCTGTTATAGAGTGGAAGCGTTCGCATGTGTCGACTCATGTATAGGTAAAGACCGATTCCGATGTGGGAATTGAATAGAAGACAATTCACGACTC